AACTAACTCTTGTTCTTTCCCTCTAAGTGAGGATATGTTCCAATTTCCGACTTTAAGCTCGCACTGGTGGTGTCGTTCTCATGGGCCCTTTACTGGCGCGCTATAATGGCTTCGCGCTGTGTGCCTTCTCCGTTCAGAGCGAGTAGCGACTCCGTTGCTGACAGGTACCTTCGTCGTCGTTCTTTTCAGGGGTTATTGTGCTGCTACGCCCCTGCTGACAGAGGACGATGAGCAGGTGCTGATCGCTGACTTTTCGCCTGAGTCCCCCCATAGACTGCGCGGCCTTTAGTAACCGGAGCGATGAACAGTCGTGCATGGCGTTCGATGACGGCAATATTACGAGGCGCAGGTGGCTGTGTTTTGCGAATACTTCGCCATGGTTTCTAGCCCTTCTGCTTTCTCATCTGGGTTGGGACCGGCAGCGGTGAAGTTCAATATAATATCAGTTAAAGAGAAATTTCACGATCATGAGCATCTGTATCTCAACCTGCCTGTAAATCAACTCTAACCAATTATATCAAGTGCTGCAATCAGCCCATATCTGGTGCAGACGAGTCGTATGAGTTCACTGACCTTGATGCACCTTGAGGGCTAGGTGTTCGCTACAGTCAGTAGTGGTTGAACCACAGAAAATGCTTTAGCTGCACCGAACTGAAACATAAATCCATTAAAGAACCGTCATGAGGTTTCAGTTTAGCATTGATTTTTGAATATTCCTTTTGCATAGAAATTATTGTGGGTACAGTGACAAATTCCCAAGAAGAATCATTTGAAAGCTTTTGTAGGCAACCGTTAAAAATAACTCTCTAAATATCAAGGGTTAACTCTGAATAAAAGAGTGATGATTCATGAAATTGCGATTAGTGCATTTGGTAAAGAATTAATTGGTACAATCTCCGTTTTCAGTAGGCCACTCCTTGGAAAATATCATGATTTACTTACGATTCGAGAGTATGAATTTAGGAAAATACAGTTTTTAGTTGTTTCTCCTAAAGTTCCAGTCGCTTTCACATTTTGATAACGACACCCACAAACTACACTGCTGATTAAGGATATTTCCTTTCATATCAGTTTTAAAGATTTTAATTTAGTTATTAATTTGTGCAAGTAGCAGCGCTTGCTGAATTGCGGTGAATGACTATGAACTTGAAGTCTAAAATAAAAAACTGTTTTTTTCAATCATATGACAGGGTGGGAGGACTATCATTATTAAATGGAAATGTTGAGGTTTTTGAGTCCGCTGATGACGTCCGGAGCTCAAGCATATCATTACGGAGTTTTCTAATGCGCAATTTCTTCCAATCTTAAGGTTATACGTTGATAAAGAAATAAGGGCACAAATTAGATAATAGCTAAATCGCGTTAAAAAATCCACTTTGAACAAAACTGCTGCGGTCGGTGTAATGAGGGACAGGCCGTTTGTGCAGTACGATAAAGTTTTTATAACAGAGTAAAGACAACCAGCATTTCTTGACCATACTATGCATTAACTATCCTTATGAATTTTGGCTGCATGCATCCTTGCTTAGGTACTCGCTGTATTTTTACAGCTAACTCCTTCGGCGCTTTTCATAAGTCTAAACTTGATGTTCCTCTCGTACATGGCCGATTTCGACCAGACTAAGAAATCGCTGGCTGATCGAGGTAGGCTGGAGAGATTTTCTTTATTTGTAATAACCATCCTGGTGTGCGTACATTACTTCGCTTCCACTCTTGGCATTGGCTGTCAGTATTATCGACTGTCGTGTTTGAATAGCCATCGTTACTAGAATGACTGGTATTGTGCTGTCACTTTTGGGTTTGAAGGTGTTCAGGCAGTAGATCGTTTGAGTCTCGGTCGAAAATTTATGCATTTAAACCTCTGATTGACTCACATACCTTTCATCATTCAGAGGTAAAAAATTAATGTCACTGAGGGAAATGAAACAAAACGCCACATGCTGCACTTTCTACATGACTGTAATTACTACTCTTAAAACGTGGTATTGATCTGACTGATGGCGCAGAAACAGAATTGGTTTCACAAATGGTGGCACTGTCATGGAAGTGTGAGCGAGACCGATACGCCATTTGTTGCAGTTTCCTTCCTCATTATCCTTTTAGACATGATATTTAGTCTGTAAGCAGAATAAAACATGGTTATTTAGACACAACGCAGAGCAATTTGATCTGTGAAATGATTGGTCAGTGACGATGCTTCGGTCTGTGTCTCACGATCCTTCTTTATGGTAATGACTTTACTGAGTTTCAGAAGTCCTTTTGTATCTTCTGCAGTTCATATCTTCAGAAATTAAAGACGTTATTCGGTTATGATGTATACGGTATATATTTGGTGTAGTCTAGCCGAATGATTCTGGTCCAAGTAGAAAGCCAGTGGCTTTTGGGTCAGAACCTTGTTTTCAAGGTATATTTTTACCAAGTTATTTTCAGTTTCTAATTCATATAGAAGGATAACTTGATTAACTGATAGACAGATTGTCACAATGAATATCACGATTTGAGTCTGGTCGAGCGAAGTCGCAAGTCTTGCATGTTCAAGTAATATGATCTATACTCTGTCTTGTTCCCTCTTAAACAGCTTTCACGCAAAAAGTTGCTCTGTGAGACAGGAAGACAGAAAAGGTGAGTGATTACCTTTCCTGTGGTATTCTTATTGTATTCCTGAGGATGGTATCGAGGTTTCGAATGAAACAAAGCCGATACACAGTGTCCAACCGCAGATAGACAAAACTACAGTTCAAGAGGGATAAGCGTCGATTCCCTGATTCGCATCATCGAAATTATTCACGATATTGTTGGCCTCAATTCACAGCTGGTAGTTCAGTTTAAAAGGCAAGTACTCATACACAGTGAAACAAGCTTAACTCTGAAATGGATTTTAACTTAAAACTTCATTTTCTGTTCCATCAATTTGTTGATTTGCAAATGTATTTATTCTGTATTTCATTTCAGGAATTCTCACCGCAGATGTGTACGATGAAAGAATACAGGATTTCGGAACGAGCCACACGTCTGCAGGTTACGTGTATTCACTTTTGGCTGCTGGTGCTCACGTGGTACCAATCCCATTGGGACTTGACATCAGTATGCATCGAAACTTATTCAAATGGATCAACGCCCTGTTCATCCCTGGTGGACCGGGCGGTCCTGTCACAGGGAGGTTTGCGAAAGTAGCCGCATACTTCCTTGATTGGGCAGAAGAGGCTAACAATGCGAATGATTATTTCCCTGTTTTTGGAACTTGCTTAGGGTATGAGGCAATTCTTCAGCACCGCTCTAACTGCACTCCTTTGTTTGATCAGTACAACGTCGATAACCAACTGCTGACGGTGTATCCAGAGAAATACTTTTTCACCAGCACATTGCTAAGTGGAATTTCGAAGCATATGCGTAACTACATGCTTACAAAACAATTCGCGCCCAACTACCACAGGCTGACCTTGTTTGTGGAGAAGGCGCCGGAGTGCAACATCAGCCAGTCGTATCGAATCATTGCATCGTCACAGGCGGACGATGGAAAAAAATTCGTCGCCATCATCGAGCACCGAACCTTACCATTCTACGGCGTAGCGTTCCACCCAGAGAAGAATGTCTACGAACACGACCGACGCTTAAACCTGACCAAGGCACAGGAGGCGATCGATTTCAACCATTATCTGTCAACATTCTTTGTAAATGAGGCCAAGAAGAACACGTTGCATAGTTTCCCAGAAGAACAGTTGCCGTCGTGCGAAATCTACAACTTTAACCCGAAGTACGTTGCGAAATTGGGAATGCTGTATGAACAGCTTTACGTCTTCCCATAGTCGAACTTGTTATTCTGCAGTTGAAATGTGATGCAAATTGCAAGGTCGTCGTTTGTGTCATTCATGCGAATATCTTTGTTCATTCTTTACTGTTTGATATTTTACTGTTATTGATTTGACTGTCTGATTTGAGTCGTTTCACGACAAACCGCATTTTCGTCGCATTTATTACCATTCGTTCGTTGTACAATAGGATTTAGATCTGTTGTTGATTACTCTCAATTTTTAAAAGTGAAAAATGTATTAAAACGGTATCTACATAACGCAAGTAAATTAGTGAACTGGTTGATCGATCAGTACTGACTTTTTAGTTTGTATGCTACTGGCCTTCTTCAGCGTAGTGCGGCTTGATTTCCTCGGTCGGTTGTGATTCTCAGCTAATATGACGTTTGGAGTCAGATATGCTGCTGAATCAATAGATGGGTGAACGGTTTGTATCCTTGGCCTGGTTGACATTTTCGCAGGATTGAATAATTAAAACCTTTTTGGTTCGTCTGTTCAGTCAGTTTCTTTCCTTAACAATGCCCTGAGATCTAAATATTTGGAAACATAACCCTTACAGGAGGGCTTGTTCTTTGAGTTTGTTAGGAGCGAGGGTTTATTTTCTTCCTGGATACTTCATTGCCACATGTTGCTCGCATTTGTTTTCGATCATCCATCTTCTATACTTTGACTGGTGATTTTTATTTCTTGATTGACCGTGTTTCCGATTTCTCTTGCATAGAATTTCCAGCAGTCGTAAGGCAATTTGTCCAAGTCCAACCTAAAGAGTTATCATTATCAGAGATATTTAGTTTCAAGAATATTGGATATTTTATGACAATTTTTTGAAGAAGTATATTCACCAAACAAAGTTAAATTCAAAAAGGAGCAAGAGCTTTGATTATTATGTTACAGATCACATCTGTCATGTCAGATTTTTTTGAGTGAAGTCTGTTCACCGTAATTAGATACAGCTTGCTGTGCTTTTACATATAGTAACGTAATCATTATGGGTCTTGATTTTCAAGAATACAGTATTTAGCCTAAGGCAGATATATAGTGTGAAAGCGGGGTGTGTTTCGTTATTTATATTTTGTGGACGGCTGAAATGTTCGCTTAACGGAAAGAGTGGATAATTGTTGCGATGAGGAATCTCGGAAAGAGAAGAAGGTGAAGAGTACATCATCGTAATTTTCCCAATAATGCTCGGCGATGTTGTCCATAGAGGTGCCACAGTGCAGGGTCTTCAAAGTCGTGTTGTGCGGCGAATATGGCGTTGGCAAGAGCTCTTTGTTCCGGCGCTTCGTTTATGACACTTTTGTTGACACTTCTGACCGATATTCGTCTGTCGGCTTTGACAATTTCGAAAAGCGCTATACATTTAACGATAAGGAGGTCGTGGTAAGTGGCATATATTCATTTATAAACCAGTATATCTTGTTTAGTAACGGTTTTTCGATGTTTTCAAGAGTCAGAAAACTGATGCTCTTCTGAACTGCTTAATTTATGATGTTTTGATAGACAATGTTTGTGATGGCAGAGACGTTTTTACTTTTTGCTCCCTTGGCTGTGTAGCGTCTAGATTGAAATCTGTTCATCAATAACCGATAAATTGTCCCGTCGTATATAAATTTCAGTTGCTTCAGGCAGCCTGAGAATAAGTGCTCTGATATTCAAATAAGCAAAGACGGTTCAGAAGTTGATTTGAAACGATGAATCATCTCCAGATCGTGCGGTAGCACAAAAAGTCTCTTACAGATTCACTAATATCACTTTCCTCTCTGCCTGGGACCGTCGATTTCTAGAAGTTGTCAGTCACTGTCGGCATCAGTTATGTACTGGATTACTTGAGGAGGCTGGGAGTCGTGAGAGGATGCGTGTTAAGCGTCACGAAAACACAACCGACTTCAAAATGGAGAAAGTCGTTTAACGGAGACTCAGTGTCATCGAGGTTGTTTACAGTTGTCGTTAAAAATTGCGAATAATATTCTGATCCTCTCCAGGCCACCAAAAAATTCTAAGGAAGAATCGGACAACAGAACGACTCCAGTATCAAAATAGAGTTGTAAATTAACCTTAAAATGACTTAGGTAATGTGTAGCACGTAATACGTCACTGTTGAATGAATGGACTTCGATTTGAAGAAGGGCGAAACTTCGTCTGTTTGGGAACAGCTTATCTGTGCAACTTAGAACCGATTATGGCAGATGAAAAGATGAATAAAAGTGACGTGAAGCTCTCTTGGAAGACTGAAAATATTACTATTTAAACTTACCTTGTGCATAAATCGGAAAGTGTTCATCTATAATCACTGTGTCTTCCCAGTGGTTGACTCATTTGTGCCATGTGTTGACCCTAAATCTGAATGGTATACGTCAGCTGCAGAGTACCAGACAAAGTATGGAAAGATGTATATTGGGAATAACAGGAAAAGATAAGGCGAATGATGGGTAAGAGCAAAAACGGGAGCCTGTGAGGCCATTTTTCGACTGAAAAAGTTAAAATAGTAAAGGATAAGACACGCTGCATCAAGAACATGTCATCGCTGTACCAGAGGGACAATTAACTGGATTCCAGAAGACAATGAACGACCTATATGAAGACTTTCAGGTCTGTGACAGGATGAACTGAAGAATTACGCTAGATCAAGATTGATGAAAATGACAGGTAACAAAACTTATAGCAAAAGTCTTGGAGAGGCCATCATCCAGCAGTGGTTAACCACTGGCTGATGATGATGATATTTTGTTCTTCATTCGTAGCTTTTTGTTGTGGTGATTGCTGCCGTGTCTTGGCTGTAAAATTGATTACCATCATTCAATACAGCATTAAATTTAAAGCAAATTTTCCCATTCAGTCTCGCAGAATATGGCATTAGTCGAATCTAGTGCATAGTATAGGATACATAG